CTCTCTCTCTCCTCTCTCTCCTCCCTCTCTAACCTCCCCTTCCTCTCTCTCTCTCTCTCTCTCTCTATCTGCGGCCAGCGGCGACGGAGCAAGCCCTGGCGGTCACGAACCCGGCATGCTAGCCAGTGTCCAGTCCGTCGCCCGGCCCCCGAGTCAGTGGTGCTGACCGTTCAACCCGGCCGCCATCACCATGTGATGTCCGGCGTCCCCCCCTCCCCCCCTCCCCATCATCATCTGTGGACTATGTGGATGCATCACTCCCCCTCCCCCTCCTCCCCCGCCCATCGGACTGTGCGGACCTCCCTGCATCTGCTGCCCCATGGGGCTGCCGTCTCCGGGAGGGTACACCCCGGGGAGGAGCTCTCCGTTGGGACCGAGAAGACCGGGAGGAGTCATGCGCTTCTCCTTCTGCCTGCGATTGCAGAACCAGACTCGAACGACTTCCTTCTCCAACTGGAGGCTCTCGGCGAGCGCGGTGATCTCCTGCGCCGAAGGCTTCGGCTGCTTGACGAAGTGGTTCTCGAGCGCGCCCTTGACGGTGACCTCTATGGACGTCCTCTTCTTGCGCTTCCTTCCCTGCGCGGCGATCTTGTCTATGCTCGTCGGGGAACCCGTGTTCGAGTCGGCTTCCTCTAGCCACTTGGAGAGGAGCGGCTTCAGCTTGCACATGTTCTTGAAGGAGAGCTGCAGCGCCTCGAAGCGGCAGATGGTCGTCTGCGAGAAGACGTTGCCGTAGAGCGTGCCCAGAGCGAGGCCGACGTCGGCTTGCGTGAAGCCGAGTTTGATGCGTCGCTGCTGCTCGAAAAAAAAGAAGAGAGAAGGGAGACGAGATGAGAAAGGTGGGGACACGCAGGGGTGCACGCATATATACACGCATGCGTGCACGTACACGCAGATATACACGCAGGGGTGCACGTACACGCATATATACACGCAGGGGTGTACGTACACGCATATATACACGCAGGGGTGCAAGTACACGCATATATACACGCAGGGGTGTACGTACACGCATATATACACGCAGGGGTGCACGTACACGCAGATATACACGCAGGGGTGTACGTACACGCAGATATACACGCAGGGGTGTACGTACACGCAGATATACACGCAGACATACACGCATATGTTCACGCAGATGTACACGCAGATATACACGCAGACATACACGCAGATATACACGCAGATAATATACACGCAAATATACACGCAGGGGTGTACGTACACGCAGATATACACGCAGACACACGCGACACGATATGTACGCGCGCGCACAGTTTATCACAAAGTTTAAAGAGAGAGAGAGAGAGAGAGAGAGAGAGAGAGAGAAG